CTTCAATGCGGGTCGGTGGCTCGGGCAGGCTCGGTATCATGAGGACGTCGACAACGGCGGCCGAGATGATGATAGTAGTGATGGTGGCGGTGATGATGGCGATGGCGACATCAAGGCCCATGGCGGCGCTGTTGCTGATAACGCCGATGACGATAATGGTGTCCACGTGTCGGTGATGACGGTGTTTGAGTGTTTATGGCGACAATTGAGACGATTGTTGATGACGGTGTCGCGATGTGGTGGCGCTGATGAGGGTGATGGTGGGGACGTGTGCGCGCGTGGAACACCAAGAACCCTGGCAACGTTTCAGTTGCACAGAATGTTTGGTCTCACGGGTTTCTGAAGGGCTCTGTTTTTGAATGTGTCGCACACCTAGACTGGTTCTGGAAGGATCTCGGCGCGCTTGCGTGGCGGCGCGTGCGCGTGTTGCCCGCATCGTCTCGTTTGCTGCGCATCCGTGTGTTGGGCGCATGCTGGATCAGCGCGGATGCGCCGCGCGGTGAGATGAGAATGCGGTTTTTGGCCGGGCTTGCTACGAGCACATGGTTTCACCAGAGGAAGCCCAAAGCAGTGAATTTTAGAATTTTTCGAAGGTGCCTCAATCGGCCTTCCTCCCACCCTAGTCGAATTCAAATATACTTGTATTCCAGTCTAGTTATTATATGTTGCGCTCTCTCTCTCTCTTTGCCCTCTCTCTATATGTTTCTCCATATATCTCTCGGTCGCTCACTCTCTCATTCTATTTACGTGCATGTATTACTCCCTATATGTGTATATACATACATATATATATATATATATATTACTTTGCACATACATGCATCTACACACTTATACGCACATGCACGCACTTGATCTATATATATATATATACACACATCTCGCTCTCTCTACTCCGCCTCTTTCATTTTTGATTTGCCATAGCTGTTTGGTTCGGTCTCTGATTTGCCATAGCTGTTTGGTTCGGTCTCTCTCTCTCTCTTTCTCTCTTTCTCTCTCTCTCTCTCTCGCTCTTTCTCTACCCCTCTCTATGCGTATCGGAGGTTGGGGGTGACATCGCAGTGAAACGGAGTCCCCACACTGGGCTATTGGTTTCGGATAGCTGCGTGGGCGGGCGAGAGGAATGAACTCGCCGTTGCCAGGGCGAAGCCGAACCAAACGTTGCTGTCTTCCGGTTGGCCTGCAGTGGCCTTTTAGTGTTCCGATGGTGTCCCGCTGGTGTCCCGTAAGTGTCTCGATGGTGTCCCGTGGTGTCCGTGGTGTCCCGTGGTGCGCGGGTGTCCCGTGCACTGTTATATGCTATGCAATGTCATGCTAGCGATAGTGGGATCGACTATGCGCTCGATACTGAGATCCATTGAATGAGATTGAAAGTGAGATCGATCGTGAGATCCATAGTGAAATCACAAGTGAGATTGGTAGTGGAATCGATTGAATGAGAACGATAGTGAGATCGATACCAGGGTCGATAGTGAGATCGATAGTGAGATGGATATTGTTATCCATTGAGTGGGATCGATCGTGAAGTCGATCGAGAGTTCGACCGTGTGTTCGATAGAGGTATCGATGGTGATATCAATTAAGTGAGATCGACCGTGAGACTGATAGGGATTAATAGTGATATCGATAGTGAGATCGATAGTGACATTGATGATGACATCGGATAGGGAGAGCGATCGTGAGAACGACCGTGAAATCGTTCGTGAGATGGATCGTGAGATCGATGGTGAGATCGATGATGATATGAGTAATGTGATCGACAGTGAGATCGATAGTTGGATCGAGAGTGACATCGAAAGTGAGGTCGGTAGTAAGATCGATACTGATACCAATTGAATGAGATGGATGGTGAGATCGATAATGACATCGATTGTGAGATCGACCAGGAACCCGGGAACCCGGGACCCAAAAATTGGAACCCCGGGTAATTTGCCGCCAACCGGGCCCCTCCGCCCACCGAAATCGGCCCGGAACCAGAAACCGGGAACCCGGGAACCCAGAACCAGGATCCCGGGAATCCGCTTGCCCACCGAAATCGGTCCGGTTTATTTCGCCAAATTTTCCAATCCCTTCAGTGCAAGCACTGCTTGGGGAATTTCCGATGGTTTCAGCCTCTGCGCGCGGGCAGAGAATTTACAAGAGATTTGTGATGAGGTGCCCCCAGGTTTTTGATGTTTTTGGTTGAGCTGTAGAACTGTTGTGTGTTCGTGTGGTTTTGACATGTGCGCGCGTGTGGCCTTTTTGCAATGCGTTGCAATGCTGTACAGTCGAAACCCGCATATTAAGGACGAACGACTTTCCAAGGTTACCCTTACGTCGGGCTTGTCCTTCTACAGGAGGAATATGCAAAAATAGTAAAAAATTGTCTGGGGACGATTTTGGAGTATTTTTTTTGCATGTTAAGGTTACCCTTGCATTCTCCCTGTTCGGCCCATCTGTGGCCGCTTTCGCTGGCCCAGCCCCGCCCGCAAAGTGTCGACGTGGCCTTCCGAGGTCCCTGCGTCCTTATCCTATGTCCCTACGTACGGGTTGGTTGTTTGCGGGAGTTTCTCTGGAACTCCCGTCATCCTGACCCCCAGCGCGCAAGAAAGTCGTCTCCCAGCGCACCCTTGGGCGAGATGTCCTCCCAACATCGCCCCACGGGTCCCCAGCGCACCCCCAGGGACGATTTTTGGCGCTGCGCTGGGCGCGTCCCCATCCGGCGATCTCGCTAACGAGATCCTCGCAACATCGCCCCACGGGCCCCCAGCGCACCCCTCGGGGACCATTTCTGGCCCTCCTGCTCCACAGCCTCATCTGGCCCTCCTGCTCCACATCCTCACCTGGCCCTCCTTCTCCACATCCTCACCCTCCTGCTCCACGCTCGCCTGATCCTCCCCCTCGCGAGCTTCGCCCTCCTGATCCTCACGCTCATTCTCCTCTCGGTCGTTTTCCTCTCGCCAGGACGCGCACGCCCATGCTCTCTACACAGAGACTCCCGACCAACCGCAGAGCGGCCGGCTGGCATTGACACGTGATGTTGTGTGATCAACGAATGTGCGCGCATAGCGTTCTTTGACAAGGCTCAGGAGGGGAAAAAACACAGACACAATTCATCGTCGATTCCCAGAAAATATGGGAAAATATAGGCAGTGGGGGGGAAGACGAAAACCCAACAAATATGGGAAAATATGGGGGATATTGTTATTTGTGTGTATTTATTTGTGTGTCCTGGGGCCCCTTTAAAGGCTGCAGGGGGGAGGGGAGGGTGGCCATGCCTGGCCGGGCTGGGACGGTATCCATTCACACAGGAAGGAAAGGCGAAGGCAGAGCCACATGTGAGCTGCAGGGGCCCCCAGGGGGTGTCGACAGGCGGGGGGAGAGAGAGGGGGTAGAGTGTTTCTTTCCGTCGGAGGTGGACAGACCTCCTACCCTGACACGTCGATCAAGGCATTGGCCGTTTTCGGTTCGCGAGAGGGCGTCGCGGCCGTCATTTTGCGGGTCCAGGTCCGCCGGTTTCGGTCCCAGGCCGTTTTCACTAACGGGAGGTTTACTACAGGGAGGTTTGACCACTGCCGATTTTGAAAAGGAGAGCACACGTGGTGCAAGCAAGAGGCGGTAACGAAGAGGCATCGGACGGCAGCGTTGCGAAACTTCGCCGGATCCACCCAGGCCGCGAATCGGCAGCGAGGCAACATCGGGCGGCAATGTGGCGAAATGGCGCTGGACACATCCCAATCTTGTGTAACCAGAGAACCCACAAGTGCAACTTCTGTTACTCACATGCCCCTCCTCCTCCCCCCCATCCCACTCCTCCCTTGCCTGCTCGCTCGTTGCCGCGGAGGTCGCCCGTCACCCCTGTGGTGGTCCTCGAATACCACAGACATGAGGCCACTGGGACACCCGCGCGGGCGCCCGGCGCTCCGGGGTCGGGATGAGTACGGTCGCTTGGCGGAGGAGGGCCGGTCGAGAGCGGCGGACCTCCACCGTGGACTTTTCGGTGCAATCCCAGACGTGATCGCGCTGTTATAAAATCAGGACGGGAGGTTTTTGGTTATTTTCGGCCCAGGAGGCCCTCGCCGGGCCTCGGGACCGTCAAACAAAGACTCGGACGAAAAACCGGTCTCGAGGAAAGGGTCGGGACTTCCAGGGACGCCGTTCTAAAACAATCTGGACGTTGCATGTCCGGCAGAGGGAACGGAAAGAATGGGTATGAAGACTGGCAGGTGCCTGACCATTTCGGGCAGGGTTCGCTGTCGGCTTCGCTGTGGAGGGAGTCCATTTGAGACAGACGGCCGCCTTCCCAACAGCGGCCCCGCTGTCGGTTTTGGACAAGATTTGCTGTTGGGCACCGTGCCCTTTCTTTCCGCACCCACGTCGGGCGGCCAGAGTTTCCTCTTGTCTAACGAACGAAAGGGGGGGATAGGGAAAGGGGGGGGTACGAAATCTGCTGCATGCAGCTGGTTTCAGCCCCACCGAGAGGCCCATTCCTCGATACATGGCCGCCTCCGGCGCTGGGAGGCGCTGGGAAAATCAGCTACGTGAGCTGATTCTCCCCCCCCCCCCCTTTGCTATCCCCCCCTTTCGCCCGGCCCGAAGCAGGCACGTCAAAAACGAGCCGGCGTGCCAGCTGGTGTCGCACGGGCGCCCCAGGGACCCACAGAGAGCGACGTGTGCTCCAAGAGAGGTGTTGCAGCAGGATCCCTTCTCGTACTGTGCCCGTCGTGGGGCTCACGGAGGAGGCCCCTCGCCGCAGCGGCAGGAGCCGCCTCAGAAAAATAGCGGGCCGGGAGCGGAACGAGGAGGAGGAGGATGAGGGGGAGGAGGAGGAGGACGAGGAGGAGGAGGAGGATGGCTAGGAAGAGGAGGAGGAGGAGGAGGAGGAGGAGGAGGAGGAGGAGGATTTTTTTGGGTTCCACGCCCCGAGGCACCTCCAAAACCCTCCGTCCAGGGAGGGGCACGAGCACCGCTGCGGAGGGAGAAGCGGCGACGGTAGGCGGACGAAGCCTCAGGCTTCAGCCTCCGAAAATGTATTGAAACACTGAATCAAACTGTCAGTGTTGACCGTGACATTACTCTTGCGCTTGCTGTAATGAGGGTGCTTGCCTTTGCAAAGGTCCTCCCATCCATAGTGCGCAGCACGGGTTGGAAGAGGAGGAGGAGGAGGAGGAGGAGGAGGAGGAACAGGAGGATGAGGTGTCTGGGGGCCTGGGCGCCCAGGAGGTGTGGCCTTTTCGGGGGGCGGAGTGGGCCCGGGCGGGAGAGCCCCGCCGTTGTCTCGGGTGGCCCTTCTCCGAGCTGAGGCCCTCTGGCTGTCGGGTGCTCTTCCCTCTTGGCTTCCCGCGGCCCGCCACTCCGCTCGGCGGCGAGCGAGAGGGGAACCCGAGAAGGGGCGGGCCTTCTCAGAAGGCTCGGGAGGCCCCTGGGCTTCTCAGAAGTTTCCTGGGCCTTCCCCGAGGACAGATAAAAACTTCTCAGAAGGCGCGAGGGCTTCTGAGAAGTCCTGCCGCCTTCTGGGAGGGCCTTCTCCTTCTCACGTCCCCCCCTTGCTCGCCGCAAATCCACGCTGCTCCAAGTCGCGAGGTGCTTCCTTTCCGTGCTCCCGCTCCCCGCGCTCTGTCCTGCCCCTGTCTCCCGCAGGGCCTGCGCTGCGCGGCAGCCTTGCAGCTTCGCCTGCGCACGAGGGGGCCGAGCAGCCTCACACTGCCCGCAGGTGCGCTGGTGACGAACGGCTCTGCGACGCAGACTCCTTGCTCTGCTGCTGCTGCAGCTGGTGGGGGGCGGGTCGGCCCCTTTTTGACGGGGCCCCGACGCCGGCCCTCGCCTGTTGGCCCATCGCGCGGGGCGGGGGAGCGCGAGGAGGGACCACGGGGCTCAGGTGCAGGTCGCTCTTCTCGTCGTCGTCGTCGTCGTCGTCGTCGTCGTCGTCGTCGTCGTCGTCGTCGTCGTCGTCGTCGTGGTCGTCGCAGGCCCCGCAGCCCGCCCCGCGGCCCATCCCCGATGCGCACCGGGACGCGCCACGCTCCGCGACGCGCTCCGCGACGCGCTCCGCGACGCGCTCCGCGACGCGCCACCCACCCGCCGCGCCTCGCCCCGAAGGCCCCACCGCGACGCTGCCCTGCGACCCACCCGCGCAGGTTCCGTGTGTGGATCCGGCCCGACTCGACGTCGAGCTCGCCCAGCTCGAGCCGATGCGAGTTCGATTTCCCAGCGAGCCGATGCGGCCGGACACTCCAGGCCTCCCAGATGAGGTCCGAGTGGATGGGGACTGAGGATCGCGCCGCATCGAGGATGCATCGACGATGCGGCTCGATGCGGAGACCGATCTGCTTCACGTCGACGTCGCCAATGCATCGCCCACGTCGACGATGCATCGCCGATGCATCGGCGATGCGGCGTGATCCGTCGACCCCATATACTCGGACCCCATTCAGGAGGCCTCTAGATACTTGCACGGCACTGTTGTGCATCTTGTCGCATCCGCTCCGATCCGATCTCGATGCCGTGCCGCATGCAGCCCGAGCCGATGCACATGTCGATCCGATCCGATTTCCCGCTTCGATGCCGACTGGTTCTGCCCGCTTCCTGGCTCGCATCCCGTCCCGCGGCCCGCCACTGTGCGGCCCTCCGTCTGCGGCCTGCCCTGCGACCCGCTGGCCGCCACCCGCCCTGCGCGAAGAGACGCAGAGGCATGCTGACCTCGAGGTCACCCCTCTGGCAGTCAGTCGGGCGTGTCCTTCTACGGGAGGGACGTTCACAAAGTAGTCAAACATCGTCTGCGGACGACGTTTCCGACTGTTCGCTGACCAGCTTTGCGTGTTCTCAGGAGTCTGTTTTCTCAGCCTTGGTGGAACATCCGCCTGCAGGAGGGCATGCCCGACCTGACAGCAGCTCCTCGCCGCCTACGCGTCCGCCTGCGGCGGCGCGAGGCGAGCTGAGCGCCCGGGCACCCGCAGCCGAGGCGCTGACACGAGGGCCGCTCTTGGCCCCGGGGGGGCTCCGGGTGTCGGGGCGGTCCCCGCCGTGGCCAGGTAGAGGCCTCTTCGTCCCTCGATAGGTTGTCATCGAGAGTAGAGGAGGAGGAGGAGGAGGAGGAGGAGGAGGAGGAGGAGGAGGAGGAGGAGGAGAAAAACCCTTAACCCGAAGAACGCAGTGAAGGCGTGGAAGACGTGACCTCGCTGAGGTCCCCGTTTGGGTATTAGGGATGATGTATGTGGGCGGTCTGGTTCAATGCATCTGCAGAAGACCCCTCATCCCTAACGTTTGTGGCCCTCCTTACTTCGGCCCCCTCCCAAAGGATTAGAGGTTCTTGTTTGATAAATCAAATTGTGGATGACTGTAGCGTCCTGGTGCCTGCCCTGGGCCACCCGCGTCCCGGGATGCTTCGCCCCCCCCCCCCTCCCCCAGACCCCCGACGTCGTGATTTTTTCACGACGTCGACCCCCAGAGGTCTGGACCCCTTCCCCCCTCAGGACCGATTTCTACCCGTTTTTCATCCTGAGCCGTGTTTTGACGGCCCTTGCGTCTGAGTGCCCTCCGCCTCCTCTCGTCCTTCGCGGCCGCCCTGGCTGTCTTCTCCCCCCCCCTCCTGCATGCCGGCCAGTTCGCGTTTCGATCGCCCCGATCGCTCACCGCCGGTGCAGCTCTTCTGCCTCGCCACCGACGGACAGTTTTGGACGGCCCCGAGGCCCGGTCAGGGCCCCTGGAGGCCGAGCGCAGCGACAAAAGTCCTCCCGCCGTGATTTTTCCGCGACGCGAGGGGGTCCACTTCTGCCGACTCCTCACGGCGGCGCTGCCGGGCTCGCAGCGCCTCGCCGAGCACCCCCCTGCGGAGGCCTCTGCCGCGAGGAGGGAGGCCCCTTTCACGTCCTTCGGGGGGCGCCTCGCCGGGGCCTCGGCTTCGCCCCCCCCCCCCCCCCTGCTGGATTCTCTCGCCCTGGCCAGAAGGGATCGGCGCATCGGCCGCGACAGTGCGCCGGCCGCCGGCGCGGACCCGCGCGAGTCAGGGCGATCTCTGTCTCTCTGTCTCTCTGTGTCCCTGTCTCTCTATGTCTGCCATTTGTTGTTTCTCGTTTATCCTTTCTCTCTCTCTCTCACCCTCTCCAGCTCTTTCTCCCTCTCTCTCTATCTCATTATCTCTTCTTCTTGTTTCTCTCTCTCTCTCTCTCTTGTTTCTCTAGCTCTTTCTCTTTTATCTCTCTCTCTCTCACACTCTCCATCTCTTCCCCCCTCTCTCTTTATCACATCCTCTCTTCTTTTTGTTTCTCTCTCTCTCTCTCTGTTGTGCACGGCTTCTGTCTGTCTGTCTTCTTTTGTTCCTCTTTATCTCCCTCTCTCTTGTTTCTCTAGCTCTTTCTCTTGCTCTCTCTCTCTGTCTCTCTCTCCCTCACCCTTTCTCTCTCACTCTCCCTCTCTCTCTCTATCCCTATCCACTCCTCTATCCATCACTACGATCCCCTCCCCTCCAGTGCATCCGTGCGTTCCTGCTCCGCCCTCCTTCCTGACTTCCTGGTTCCTGCTCCGCCAGCAGGACGGAGGAGGCGGACCAGGATGAGGATGAGGATCACGCCCCTCGACCACGCGCGAAGAGGAGGACAGGGAGGAGGAGGAAGAGGAGGAGGAGGAGGAGGAGGAGGACAATGAGTAGAAGGAGGAAGGCGACGAGGACGAGGGTGCAAAGAAGAGGGCTGCGGAAGCTGCCTTTCGCTGGCGCCGCGATGCGTCTCGTGCCTCGCGGCCCGCTCAGACCTACAAGAACTTCTCGAGGCTGTGGATGTCCCTGTGGCTGCGCGACATAATCATATTCGGGCGCGCCCCTGACCCCGAGCCTGAGGCGATCGAAGAAGGGATGGCAGCTAACAGCACCAGATCGCTTTGGCTGTTCTCATTCGGCCAGAGGGTGGAGGTGAATCTCGTCCCACCTCGACCCCGCCACAGTGTGCGAGGTTTGCCCTCTCTGGCTTGGCTTGCCCGCTCCCACGCTTGCTCTTGGAGGATCTGCTTACATGGAGTGATGGGTGTTTTAAGCGCTCTTTGTTTTCATCTGCCACTTGCTTGCTCCAGTGGAGAGGATTCTTTTGCTGCTATAGCTTGGTTCAGCTCGAGATGCCGGGCGTCTGGAAGTGATACGTGCGGGGGAGGTGGAAGGGAAGGAGGGAGGAAGAGGGAGGGGAGCGATGGGGGAGCGATGGGGGAGGTTTGGGGAGCGGGAGAGGAAGGAACGAAACGAGGAGAGGTGAGACAGTAGAGGGATGGTCTGGGAAGAGAAGGGGAAGGACATGGCCTCTGCAAGTTTTTGTCATGGGAGATTGGCAGGAAGGAAGCGGAACTGATCTTCCTTGTGGGGAGGGGGAGGGGGAAGAAGAGGAAGAGGATTAGGAGGAAGAGGATGGACTAGGCAGGATGAGGAGGGACGAGAGAATAGGGGTAGGTTTGTTTCCCGACAAGCCATTAGTATGATGGTCGGGGGCAGATAGTTCTCTGGGTTCGAGTGCACGGACCCCCCCTAACTCACCACTCACGTGCCAGGGACGGAACCCTCGTGAGTGAGTGCGTAGTCGCAGTAGGCGAAGAAGCAGTGTGCAGAGGAGGAGCAGGCGGAAGAGGATAAGGAGAAGGAGAAGATGGATGACGTGGATTTGTATGTTGGTTTTATGTGACTGCGTGATATTCCAGATGGTTGTGTGGGGGGATGAGGGGCAGGACGTGGTAAAATGATGAGTCTTGGGGGGTGGGGGATGGCGGGGTGATGCTGCTGCTGATGATGATGATGGATGAGGATGGGGATGATGATGCTGATGCTGGTGGTCATGATTGTGACGAAGATGCTGGTAGCGATGATGATGAGGACGACGGCGACGATACTGACCATACTGACGATGCTGCTGCTACTGATGATGATGATGATGATGTTGCTGGTGAACATGAATAATATTGTGGTGCTGCTGTTGGTGGCAATGGCGAGGATGATGGATGCCGTTGGATGGTGGTGATGTTGATGATGCTGCTGCTGATGATGATGCTCAGGCTGATGCTGCTGCTGATGATATTGACGATGCTGATGATATGATGTTGATGATGACGATGACGATGCCGATGACGATGCTTCTGCTGCTGCTGATGAGGATGACTTTGAGTATACTTATGATGGTGATGATGATGGTGAGGATGATGTTGCTGCTGATGATGATAACGGTGGCGATGATGCAAACGATGATGATGACCACGATGATGATACCGATGGCGCTGATGGTGATGATGATGCTGGTGCTGCTGCTGATGATGATGGTGATACGATGATGATGATGGTGATGATGATGATGCTGATTATGATGATGATGATGATGATGATGATGCTGATGATGATGATGATGATGTTGATGAGAACGAGGACAATGATGATGCTGATGATGAAGTTGATGATGCTGGTGATGATAATGATGATGCTGCTGATGATGATGATGATGGTGGTGGTGATGATGATGCTTATTATGATGGTGATGGTGATGATGGTGATGATGATGCTGATGATGCTGATGATACTGCTGATGCTGCTGATGATGGTGGTGCGGATGATGATGATGATGATGATGCTTATTATGATGATGACGATGATGATGATGATGATGATGATGATGCTGATGCTGATGATGATGATGATGATGATGATACTGATGATGATGATGATGATGATGATGATGATGATGATGGTGATGATGATGATGATGATGATGATGATACTGATGATGCTGCTGATGATGATGATGGTGGTGGTGATGATGATGATGATGATGATGATGCTGATGCTGATGCTGATGCTGATGATGATGATGATGATGATGATGATGATGATGATGATGATGATGATGATGATGATGATGATGATGGGGACGAGGTGCCGGAGGAGAAGGAGGAGCAGCAGGAGGAGGAGGATGATAGTAGGGAGACTGAAGAGTAGGGGAGAGATGGTCGGGATGTGTTGGTTGAGGCTCGACCAGACGTTCTTCAACACACAGGACGTCTGAGCCCCCGCGAGCGCTGTTGGTTGGGCTCCAAGCCCAAATTCTCCCGACTCATGCCAAGCCACAGGCGAGAGGTGAGACTGTACGGGACTATGCAAAAGCAGGTGCAGTATGAGCCTTTCGAGCTTGCGCACAAATATTTCTGGTTTGGGTTATGTGCCTGACGGCGTGCTAGCTGGTTATTATTTTCAGTGGCACACCGTCGCACTGTGGTTTGCATTTTCGTCTCAGTTGAGCACGCTGCTGGTCGGACCTCCGACACACATCTTGGTTGGGCGCGCAATTGGCCCCGCTTGTGCGTCCGTGCGCAAACGTGGAGGCGTCCTCAAGGGGGATCCCTTGGGCGCACGCTGGCAACTTCCTCTTGCTCCCCGCGCTCCGTTCTGTGCACTTGCCCCGGAGTGGGGCTCGGCGGACGGCGCCCCCCCGCGTTGTCGGCGATCATCGGGCTGCACTGGCCTGTCGGGAGCTTGGGCCCCGCGTCCCGCGATCGGGATGCGTCAGGGCGGATTCCTCGTCGGGGTGCGCTTGCCCCCGCGGGGCGGGCTGCAGCCTGGGCGGTGGAGTCGGGCATGCTCGAAGCGAACGGGCTACAGTGGAGGCCAGTCCACAAGAACCCTCCACAAGAAACCCGACCCTGAGACCCCAGGACGTCCATGGATCCCTGGCGTTGGAACTCGAAACCCTAGAAACCCAGGGCACCCTGGAGGCAAGAAGGGTGTTTCTTGGCATGGGCCTCCACTGTAGCCTATGATTTGGGTGGGGGCGTTCAGCTGAAGTGTTTCCCTGCCCTCCTTCCTCTGGGCCTGCTCTTCTTCCCCCACAGCCCTTCTCAGGTATCCCCCAGGTCCGCTTGAGTAGGCGTCTGAGTCTGAAGTGGCCTCACTGTGCCCCCCAGAAACGCCACACAAGCTGCAGGTGCCCTCACTTGTGTCCTTACAAGGGGCCCTACTGTGCTTTCAAGACTCTCCCTGCGTCCTGCCTTGGGACCCCACACGGACGCCACAAGTGGCCCCACTGTAACTTCACGTGTGCCCTCAACAAGTGGCCCCACTGGGGAACGACCCCGGGGCTTCAATCCTCGAGTGCCCCCACTGGCTGCAAATGTGGCCCCGCAAGCGACCTCACTTGGAACGACCCCAGACCATCCAACCCCTCAAGTGCTCTCACTGAGCCCTCACTTGTTGCCGCATTAGTGCCCTCACCGTGGGGCCACTTGTGACCCCACAAGTGGCCCCACCGGCCCCGCTCAAAAGTCTGGTACCCCGGAGTTGCGCGGGAACACCTTTGAGCGAGCACTACCCTTCTGCTCAGATCTACGTTTCCCTTATCATCCTCGTCCGCCTCCTCAGCTTCATCATGTTCCCCTCCGCCTTCTCCTCCTCCTTCACCTCCTCCTCATCTTCCTTCTTCTCTTCCTCGACCTCCTCCTTCACCCTCCCCTCCGCCTCCTCCCCCCTTCTTCTCCCCTCTTTGTTGTCACGCCCCCGTACTGCCCCGTCTGTTTTCGATGCCGATTTGGACTGCGCCAGCTCCCGCAGCGATCTGCTTCATTCCCTTGGTGTCGCTGGTATGGAGCGCTGCTCTATCTGACCTCTTCTTCCTCTTCTCCCCACTCCTGGCAGCGGCACTCATATTGTCCCCGCCTCCTAGGACGCGAAGTGGATTACCGAGCCTGAGAACTTCTCGCCGCTGAACCAGGCGCGGGCCAGCGGAATATGGAGTTCGCATACGGGAGTCTTTTTTTGTGCGGCTTCAGCCTTCCCAGGCCGACGGAATGACGATGCCCCTTCGTCTAGCTTCCATCTCCCCATTCTAGTTTCATTGATGCCCCTTCCTCTGTGTTTCCTCTTTGCTTCCTTGTTTCCTTCCCCGCCATTTTTTGATGTGGTTTATACACAGTGTTCCCGAATTGTGAGTGGAAGAGCGGGGCATCACAACAACTACGATTCAGCATACGGTGTCTCTTCTGCTGCCGTTTCGCACCCGATTCACTCTTGGGCTTCTGGTCCGAACGTACAGTCCACCACGGTTCTAGAAGGGCATCCCATACGAAATCTTGCCTTCAATCTTGTGAGTTTGGAAATGCAGCTGGTGGGCCCCTCCTCGTCGCCGGCCTCATCATCTTCCTCTTGCTAAGTCTCGCCCCGTTCGGATCTCGCCGGGACGACCTCGCCTGGGAGACACGATATGCTATAGCTGCACTGGACTGTTGTGTGTGTGTGTGTGTTCAGTAGCTCTCCGCCTCAGCTCCCTCCCTATCTCCCTCTGTCTCTCTGTTTCCCTGTCTGTGTGCGCCTCTATCTCTCTCTCTGTCTCTCTGCCTCTCTGCCTGTGTGTGCCTCTCTCTCGCTCTCTCTTCCTCTCCATCTCTATTTCTCTTTCGTTACCTCTTCATTATTCTCGCTTTCTCTTTCTCTCTCTCTCTCTCTTTCTCTCCTTCCTCCCTCCCTGTTCTTCCTCCCCTCTCCCGTTTTCCGTTTTCGCCTGTTGCCATCTTGTTTTTTCTTCCCCTCATATTCCATGCTCACTCCTTCTTTCCTCCCCGCAATCCTCCCCTGCCTCCCCGTCCTCGGCTCCGCGTCGTGTCCGCTCTCCCTCCCCCTGGTCCGCTTCCGAGCAGCCCATACGGTGGGGGCCTCCGTGAAGAACTGTGCCCGGGAGGCTGCAGATGACGAACGGACCACACACGCCCATACCCATAGGGGGGCCGGCGGGAGGAGGACTTGCTATGGGTATGGGTGCGGGTTGTCGGACCGCGGGGGAGGCTCCCGCTCGAGCGGGGACATCCGACAATGCGCACCCATAGCCCCCTCCGTCCTCCCCATGGGCATGGGTGCGTCTTGTTCGTTCGTCAGCAGGCCCTGTGGAGGATTCCGTTTGCGACGAGGGCGGCGGTGCTATCCGTGGCCAGCCCACATTTGGAGTCCCACGCGCGTCCAGAGCCTGGACTCCTCATCTGAGGGTTCCCTTCGACAGTGTTTTTTCAGGGTCCGGCGATCACCTGGGTTATCGGGCTTGCCCCCCCCTCCCACCCCCCCCAGGATAATCTAACCTTGCCGGTTGTGCAGGTCCGGGTTGGGGGGGCGCGGGCACATGCAGGGTTGCCCACAGCGCGAAGGTAAGGTTATCGGCCGGCCCCCTCCTCCCCCCCCTCCGGATAACCCAGGTTATCGCCGATTCAAAAAAAAATGTCTCTCATCTAAGGGTTCCGTGTCCAATGCCCCCACTCTCTTTTGTGGCCTCGCGGTCAATCTGCACCGAGCCAGTTTGTTCTGGCTCCCCCACCTCTTGGGATGGTGGACCGGTTGTGGAGCTCCCTCCAAACCGAGAGCTAGAAGCCACGGGCAGACAGCACTACACACACGCTACTGCGTTCAGTGTGAATTACTATTGCATGCCTTGCGGATCAGCTGCACTATGACAGCAATGAAAATCTTTCCTGCCTATCGGGGACACGTGTCCGTGCCCGCGCCCCCCCCCACCATAACTTGGAGGTGGAGGGGGTCCTCCTCCTCCTTCTTCTCCTTTTCGTCCTTCTCCTCCTCATCCTCCTCCTCCTCCTCTTCGTCCTCCTCATCCTCCTCTTTCCGTCCTCCTCTTCCTCGTTCTCCTCCGCCTCCTTCTCCCCTCCAACTTACGGTGGTGGTCCCTTGTCCAATGCCCCCACAGTAGCGGGGACACGTGTCCGTGCCCGCCTGGAGCGAACGGACGGCGCTCGTGCGCGGGGTTCCGCCGCCGACGACCTGTCCACGGGGGGGGGGGAGCCACGCTGCGGCCGCACACCGGCGGGGGCGCGGAGCTCCAGGCATTCCTGGCGCCGCGCTGCGGCGAGGTGGTCATCGAGGAGGAGGTGGAGGAGGAGGAGCAGGAGCAGGAGGAGGAGGAGGTGGAGGAGGAGGAGGAGCAGGAGGAGGTGGAGGAGGAGGAGGAGGAGGAGGAAGAGTAGAAGGAGGAGGATGACAAGGGGGAGGCTTCGATCGTGGAGTTCGTCAGCCACCAGCGCGGCAAAGATGAAGCATGCGCCGCGCCGAGACAGCACGGCCACCGTGACACACAACCCGCGCGGCGCTGGGGCCAGGTCGGCCTTGCGCCCGCTCCCGCGCGCTCCTGCTGGGCGCTGCCGACGCTGCGCGATTCGGCAGGAGAAGCAGGCGCAGCGCCCACGCGGGAATGCCACTCCCAGGCGACACGTGCACGGCGCTTGTACGAGGGCGACAAGACGCCTGCTCCCGTGCAGCCCCGCCGCCCGCGACTTGGCGATCGACAGCGGTGCGCCGCGCCGAGGTGGGAACGCCACTTTCAGGCGACGTCTGCACGGTGCCGAGACGTTTCGGCCGCGCGCGCGTCGACGAATTTGCGAACGGAAGCTGTGCACGGAGCCCAAGCGGGAACTCAACTCTCGAGAACAACCAGCGCAGCGCCGACGTGAACGCGACAGTTCGCCAGGCCCCATCCCTGCCACTCATTCTGCTGTATTGTTCGGATTTCGAGCAGGATGGACCGTTCAGGTCGGATGGCCTTTTGGCAGACCAGGAGAACACAATGATAAAGGGTACGAGTAGAAGGATGTACAGTGGAGCGTAGAAGGCCATGGTGGAAGATGGCGAAGTTGCGCGAGGAAGGGGGAGGCGCGAGGATGAGGAGGGGGGTGGAGGTACGAAGACGCGATATGAGGAGGGGGAGGAGGATGAGAAAGAGGAGGAGAGGGAGAAGGATTTGTCAGGGCTTGACGATTCTGCTCCATCGCTGTACATCTGGGCCAAGTCACTCTAGCTAGACCCAGGCGTGTCCTGAGTGAACCCGGAGATCGGATGAAGGGGACAACGATGATGATGACGATGATGATGCTAATGATGGTGCTGATGATGCTGATGATGTTGCTGCTGATGATGATGACAAAGCTGATGATGCTGATGATGCTGATGGTGACGATGATGATACGGATGCTGATAGTGCTGATGATGCTGATGATGCTGATGATGAGGATGGTGCTAATACTGCTGCTGACGATGATGCTTGGATGGTGGTGCTGCTGTCGATGATGGTGGTGATGATGATGCTGATGATGATGCTGATGATGATGATGATGATGCTGATGATGATCGTGATGATGATGATGATGATGATGATGATGATGATGATGATGGTGTTGACGAGGATGCTTATGATGCTAACCATGCTTTTTTATGATACGGATGATGGTGCTGATGTTAATCATGATGTTGTGATGATGATGTTGTGGATGATGCGGATGCTCATGATGATGCGGATGGTATGATTAAGCTGCTGATTATTGTTATGATGATGGTGGTGATGATGCTGCTGATGATGATTATGAGGATGATGATGCTGCAGATGATGATGCTGATGCTGCTGCTGATGATGCTGATGACGATGATGACAATGATGATGCCGCTGCTGATGATGCCGATAATGCTGCTGCTGATGATGCTGTTGATGATGATGAGATGATGATGATGCTGATGATGATGATGATGATGATGCTGATGATGATGATGATGGTGGTGATGATGAAGATGATGATGATGATGATGATGATGATGATGACGACGACGAGGATGGTGAGGATGATGATGACGATGATGATGATGATGATGATGATGATGATGATGATGATGATGATGATGATGATGTTGATGATGATGATGAGGAGGAGGAGGAGGAGGTGGAGGAGGAGGAGGATAACGGCGAAGACCCTGGCAGCCGTCTTGGGGTCGTCTGGATGCCCTCTTAGGGTTCTCTTGGGGCTATCTCGCGGCCCTCTTGGGGCTCTCTTGGGGATATGTCTGGAGGGTCTTGTGGTCTTATTGGGGCTCTTCTTGGGGATGTCGGGCTCTCTTGAAGATCGGCTTGGGCCTTCTTGGGAGCATGGAGGGCCTCTCGGGGCCATCTTGGGGGGCGTCGATCAAAAGAGGGGAGGGTCCTCGACTTCTCTTCCCTTTGGGACCATCATAATTGCTTCCTAGGGGCCCTCTTGGGGCGCCCTTGGGGCGCTCTTGGGCAGTCTTGGGGCCGTCTTGGGGGCCTCTTCGGGCCGCATCGGAGGCGAAAAACGAAAAGGCGAGAAGGCAACGATCATTGATTTCTGCTTGGTTTTTGAATGAATTCTGGCTTCTAGGGAAAGTCTGGAAGGGGGCTCCAAGAGCACTGGGAGCCGTCTTGTGGTTCTTTTGGGGCCTCTTGAGGCATGTCGGAAACCATCTTAAACTATCTTCTTCTATCTTGAGCCAGTTCGGAGGCCATCTTGGAGAATCGGGGGCCCTCTTGGAGCCATCTTGGGCAATGTTTGGCGCTCTGACTGCTCGCGGACCCGCCAAAAAAACCTCAGGGAGGGGGGTACCCCTTCCCGAAGGGGCTGGTGGGAGTACAGAAGGGCGATGACGAAACAACGTGCCGTCGGCGCCGCGCAGGCCGTCATATGGGTCGTCTACGCCGGTCTTTACCTCAACTTCTTCTCCGCCGTCCGGCCCGGGAAGGCCTGCCGGCGCGGGGGGCAGGGAGGGTCGCGGCCAGAGCCACTAGGGGGAGGAGGGACGGGCGGGGGCCTGGGGAGCTGTTCCTCCTCCTCCTCCTCCTCCTCCTTGAGAGGACGCTCGGCCTCGTCCTCCTCCTCGGCCTCCATCTCCTCCTCCCTGAGGACGCTTCGTTTTTTCCTCCTCCTCTTCCTCCTCCCCGATGGACCCCTCGCCGCAGCGCAGCGCCAGGACTGCCTGGAGCTCCGCGCCATTCCTTCTCCTTATAAATAGCTTTTCCCTGTCGCACCCCGAGGCCAGTTTTTATGGCGGGCCGGTCGTTTCGCCAGAGACTTCCTCACCATTTATGACCTAGCAGCTTAAAACATGGCAACAGTTTTACTGATGGAGGGCGGGTGGTTTTCAAAATGTGGCTCTCGCCTTAGCGCCGCGCGCATTCGGTTTAAACATTTGCAAGAGCTTCACGGATTGAGGGCGGGCCGTTTTTTAAATGTGGCTCTCGCCTTGGCGCCCCGCACATTCGCTTTCAAAATTTGCAAGATTTTCGCGGATTGAAGGCGGGTGGTTTTCAAAATGTGGCTCTCGCCTTGGCGCCGCGTGCATTCGGTTTAAAACATTGCAGGGGGTTCGCGGATTGAGGGCGGGTCGTTTTCAAAATTTGGTTCTCGCCTTGGCGCCGAGCGCATTCGTTTTAAACATTTGCAAGAGCTTCACGGATTGAGGGCGGGTGGTTTTCAAAATGTGGCTCTCGCCTTAGCGCCGCGCGCATTCGCTCCTTTTTACTTTGCAAGAGTTTCACGGATTGAGGGCTGGTGGTTTTCAAAATGTGGCTCTCGCCATTGCGCCGCGCACATTAGTTATACAAATAAACAACAGTTTCACGGGTTCCCATGGTCGACGTACCAGGAGTTATGTTTTGGGAAGAACCGGGAAGGATTCACGTCTTTGAGGGCGCAACAGTTACGATGATTCGCGGAGTTGAGGTCCCAGGAATAGCTTCCTGGCACGGTTCAGGGTCGTCAAGACGCAACAGTCAGGTGCATCCGTGGCGCTGGAATACCGAGAATCAAAGTTTGGCCTGTTTCAGGATCTTCAAACGGCTGTCTTCCAACGAGGCAGGCACCTCTGTGGAAATGAACCGTTGTAAGGGCCTATGAAGGGAGCTTGGGGGGGTTATTCCAACATCGTTGGTGACTCTTGGGTTTACACTTGTCCTCCTCCTCCTCCTCGTCCTCCTCCTCCTCCTCCTCCTCCTTCCCTCGTATCTCCTCCGTTCCTCTTCCTGATGCATCGTTTTCCCCTGTCGCACCCCGAGGCCACTTGGAAGGGTGGGACGGGCAGTTCGCCTGAGACTTCCCTACCACGAGTGACCAGCATAAAAGCTGGCAGCAGTTTCGCAGATGGAGGACGGGTGGTTTCCAAACTGTGGCTTTCACCTTAGCGCCGCGCACACTCGCCTTAACAATCTGCAAGAGCTGCACGGATTGAGGGCGTGTGGTTGAGAACGTGCGTCTTTCGCTTCAGTGGTGCCGCGCATTGCAAGAGCTTCGCGGGTTGAGGGCAGGAGATGTTCAACATGTGGGGCTCTCGCCCTAGCGCCGCGCACGCATGTTCTAAATCTTGCCAGAGTGTCGCGGATGGAGGGCGGGCCGTCTTCGAAACGTGGCGCCCGCCTCCAGCGCCGCGCACAGTCGCCATACAACAGTGCACCGGCTTCACGGGCGGAGGGCGGGAGATTTTCAACATGCGGTGCTCGCCTGCGCGCCGCGCGCACTCGTCACACGACACGTCAAGAGCTCCACGGGTGGAGGGCGGCTCTCTTTCAGCACGTGGTCCTCGCCTTAGGCGCCGCGCGCGCACTCGTTTTCGGAGTCTGCAGCAGCGCAGTGGTCCTCGTGGTTCACACGCTCCGGGGCTGGTGTTTTGACACGGTGTCGGACTGTCAGGGCACAGCAGTCACCTTGATCCGTGGTGTTGAGGTCCCGGAAATGGTGTTCTGGCACGGTTCAGGATCGTCAAGGGGCAGCGAAGATTGTGAGTCACGGCGCTGAAGCCCCAGGATTAGTGTTCTGGCACAGCCCAGGATTTCCAAACGTTTTTGCTGGTTCCCCTTGTTTCTCTTCCTTTTTTTTCCAGCGGAGCTCTTCCTTCAATGAAAACGAGACCTTGCACGGGCCTGTGAAATTGTAGCGTGGAGGAAGGGTTTATTGCAACTTCTTTGATGGGTCTCGGGCTTGGACTGGTCCTCCTCATCCTCCCGCTCCGCCTCCTGCTCCCGCTCCTCCTGCTCCGCCTCCTCCCCCTGCCCCCCTCTCTTCTTTCTCCTGGTTCGTCTCCTCCTTCTCCCTCAGCCCTGCCTGCTCCACCTCCTCCTCTAGGGTCTCCTCCTGCTCTTCCACCATCTTCCCCCTGCAGCTGCCGCTCCTCCTTCTCCCGTTGGTCTTCCTCCTCCCCCTGTTCCTCATTTTCTTCCTCCCCCTGCTGCTCCTCCCCGTCTTCTTTCCTTTCCTCCCTCGCCCTCCCCCTCGCCCCCTTCCTCGCTCTCACCCGCCAGCTTCGCCTCCATGCCACCCCCCCTGCTCATTGGATGGATGCGGGAGGGCGTACGGCTCGGGGCGTCGTCAGTGCTGAGCTTGCCGCTGTCCAGTGCTCGCCAGGCGGGGCTTGAAGGGGCTCGGAGTGGGGCTGAGCTTGCCGCTGGCCAGTGCCCGTTTGGAGGGGGGTGCCAACAGGGAGAGGGGGCGAGCGGGTGGGTTGATGGTGTCCTCCTCAGCCCTCCTGGCGCCTGATGTGTAGCACGGTCTACACACTGGCGAACGCTCCCCCCCCCAACGCCCTCCCATCCCTATCGCCCCACGCCGACCTCGACGACGATCACTGAGTGCTCTGGCCCACCAGCGCTGGTTTTGTAGGCTCCGGCCTTGGCGGTCACCAGCGCGCGGCCGTTCCTTGCCAGAGACTCCCTCGCGGCCTGATGAGCATGCAGCTTGGCATTTCCAGCATCGCGGTCCGAATGCGGATCATTTCGTCACGTGGCTATCGTTTCAGCGTCGCGCTCATTTGTCTTTCACAGGCGATGCTTGCACTGAGGAGTTGGGTGGGGCCGCCGAGGCTTCGCCACGTTGCCGCCCGTGGGCGCCTCGTGGGCGCACCGTGCGCTGGGAGGGTCTGGTGAGGTTGAGCCAGGTTGCCGCCCGCGGACGCTTCGTGGGCGCACCGTGCGTACGACACAACATAGCTCACGCCACGTAGATTTCACTGAACAGCTTACACCTGGCTCGTATCCAATAGAGTACACTGCGTAGCTTACACCGCGGAGCTCACATGCCATAGCTCACGCCACATTGACTCACGTTTCGCTAGAAGATAGATTTCACCCCTCTCCCCCTGGACTTCTCTTCGTATTTCAATTCGGGTATGATTCTGGCTGATCGTTCACTCATAATTTGTATTCGTACCATACCAGCCAGGCGGGTATCGATCTCCCCTGACCGCTGTCAAATAGTATCATGCGTTCATGCTCGATCGTCTCAGAACATAACTTCCCAATTGAACCCCCTTGCAAAGGCTTGACGCAACGTCCACACGCGTGGGCACATGATGATTTCATAACAAAACACCAGTTTCGTAAACGCGTACACATAGAAGCATCAAGCACGCTCAGATGTTCCATCAGACATCGTGCAGAATTTCTGTCCGCGCGCTTTTGTTGAACTCCAGAAAAAATAACATGTGATTTTAGCAATGCCGTCCAGAATCTGCACTCTCACCTCACCACGCGATGCGTCCGCGTTGATCCAGCATGCGCCCAGTGCACGAATCCGTATCAAGTAATACCATGCCTGTCGAGCGTGTGCCTTCTAGTAAATTGTGGTTAGTGATACTTAGCTTGCGCGCTACTCTGCGCGCGCTTGGCGACCTTTCCTCTGTCTTCCTCTCCTCTTCCCTTGCTTCGCACAGGTCGGTCTTAGTGCACTGGTGGCCCCTGTGCCCGTCATATGACATCGTGCAATGTGGGATTTACACGCAGCGGCTGTTTCGGCCCAGGGGTGCATCACTCATGGCTGGCCTTCCTTAGCGGGGGCGGATTCTTTGCCGTTTTGGTTTCCTCTCCTTCTTCCGCCTTCCTTTTTCTTCTCATGGTTGTCTTCACGCGAGCTGTTTTCAAACATGACCTCATCGGGGCTTGGAGACCGAACGGTGTACAGCTTCGTTGCGCTGCTTGAGTGGTAACACTGTATCGGATAATACCATTCGGGCCACACGCGCTCGACGCCACGCGCGCGTGCCGAAATCTTTTCAAAACCATGGGCTTCGACGCATTTCAAGATAGAGCTCATCAGCATATATGGGAGCAAAGTGTTTTTCAACACACCGTTCGCCCGATCTCTTGCCGTCCCCCCCCTGCGCGCACCCCTTCTCACCATCACCCACACCGGCGCCGCCGCATCACGCCATCGTCATCGCCAAGCGTCGCCATCGCCGCCATCACCAGTCAACCACTTTCGTCACTTGCGCATGGACATCACCATCGTCAACGTCGACGGTATTGTCACCACCCTCCTGCACATCGTGCTCGGGACCGTCGGGTCGGACCCCTTGTCCGAGGCGAAGACTGCACCCCGCAGTCAAGGTGACGAACATCAGATTTCTTGGGAAGAAGTAACACTCCTGGACCCTTGTGGCCGGGTAGTGAGTACTGCTGAACCAGATGTTCAGCAAAACGGATCAGTTGAAGATGTGGACTCCTCAGACGACCCATTGCTCGGAGGAGGAGTCAACCGACGTGGCGGGAAGAGTGCAGCCAAAGCGACGAAGGGGCGTCGTGAGGTAGCAGATCTTGCCAATCAGGTGACCCAGATCACCACAGTTTTGAATAAGTTGACAGAGAAGATGGGAGTGGAGTCTCAGGTGGCTGTGGGGAAGCCGCCAAAGAAGCGCACGCCCAAGAACACTCAAGTACCGCCAACACTTCAGAAGATTCGTGAATATCTGAAGTACAT